TTATATTTGACTGCAAACAAGTAGGCACAAAGAAAGTTTAATCATTTCGTATCGTTTCCATTGGATTTAATGCTAGAAATGTTTCACATTAAAAATTTGGTGTGATTATCTTTGCAAACCAGACACATATTTATTAATTTTTTTCACGAACGCGAACGGGAATCACTTGGAGGATGTTGTTTTTTTGCAAATCAGGTGTTTGCATATTTCTAACATCTAGCATCGCTTTTGAAGAGATGTCATGAAGGATCCTTCACATAATCATTAATGTAATGACGCTTCAAATGGCTACGCGATCTTTATCTATTTTTTGGGAAATAATATTAATCAGCAAAGCTTCGCTTAATTATCTATATTAATTCCATAACTTTTAATGATCGAAATGTTTCTGAATTTATCAATTAATGATCGTAAATCTTTAGGATTTTATGAACTATTTTTCAATAGAAAGAATCATTGATATGAGAATTTACAAACCAGTCTCTTAGTATCTATCTTTCTTCAAGTGCTTAATAAGAAAGAAAATCTATCTTTGTATCTGCCTTGCACAATTAAACAAGATGGAAAAACAATTCTGAGAATCTGTTAATGTCTATTAGATGAAATAAAGCTACAAACGGGTTTTTAAATAAATTCCAATCTTTGGAATTCTCAAAAATTTAGGTAATGTTATTCAGGCAATTATATTCATGAATACTTCGTTTCGGGGACCTATTATTTGCATGCTGATATTGCCATTATTACATAATGAAGTAGAAGACATTTCAGGCTTACCTAAACAGGGTAATAGCCATCTCAATCTTCAAAGGCTTGATGTCTGATATTCTTCATCTTGCACACTTTGTAATAATCCAAGCGAAGTTCAGCAATTTGGTATTTAACTGGCACTTTTTCTTGCAATACTTCTATTTGTTCGAAACAAACATCACATTTCCACTGACACACTTAAGGGAATTTGTGTCTAAAACACCACCACGTTTATGTGTTCATTAGCCTTTGTTTTCGAATTAGCGCGTTAGCTCGGGGGCGCAATGGTTTGGGACTGTGACTAAAGACAATTTACAACAACACAACAATAGTGGACTTATCATAACTAAAAATCTAAATCGAAAATGATTAATTCCCGACCATACGGGATCAAAACATGTATGCTACGATAGGAGTTCGAATCTTGACTAACTGAGATTGTGCAGAAACAATGCGCTATACATAATTTGAAGTTGAGCAGGAACGCGTTGTACATAAACTTTTATTGCCGCGTAGGAGGCAACACAAGTACATGTAAAAAACTTTCTTTAAATTGCCTAAATTACACACACACAGATATATATATATTACATTTTTTGGCGCAGTTGATTTTCGAACCTACAATGATGTCTCAAGTGCATAAAACTCCCAATGCAAAGGTTATTCAACTAATCTATCTTCGTTTAACTAATGTATAAAATAAAAAATAAACTGTTCATCACTACCCTAATTCTAAATCAGGCCACGGTTACTGTAACATCAAAGTACGCTGCTCCTGTAACTTATAAAAAAAATGAACAGACAAAATCTAGATTATGTATTGATTTTCGGAAACTTAATCAAATTGCAAAAACAGATTCAGAACCAATCCCTAGAACTGATGCTGTATTACATCAATTAACAAATGCAAAAATTTTTTCCACATTGGACTTAGCATCAGATTGAATGAAAAAGATACTGAAAAATTAGCATTTACTACAAATTTTAGACTTTATGAATTTACTAGACTATCTTTCAGTTGGAAGAATTCTCCAGATGTATTTCAAAGAGCTCTTAGACTAACAGCACTATTTTTAAAACAGAGAGATGAAATTTCCAAATGAAATAAAAACGAGGATATAGTAAGTTAAATTTAGAAGTTTGCTTTTATATTTTTATCTTACACACACACACACATATATATAAGATAATATAATTTAGTTCCTTGCATTAATTTGATACAAGATGAGTGCTTGACTAGGAAAGACATTATTTTGCAGTCGTAAGTGGACTGAGGTTAGAATATCACTGAAAATATCAATTACATAGTAGAAGATGCAGAGAACTTTTGAAGAATCACAAAATCTCTTGATAATTCAAATATCTCATTATTACTGGTTGGTTGCCTTGTGGCATGTCACATCACAAGCGGACCCAATCTGCACCCCACAATGTTGATGATAATGCATTGGATTTTCTACAGAAGCAGTCAAGCAAGTGACGTCTTTTAGCTAGCAAGCGTAGGCAGAGAAAGAGTGAGGGTAGTTGAATTGCAATGGTATTTATAGTAAAATATTTTATTGATCTGATTGGCTAAAACTTACAGGCATAGCAGAAGTTTTAGATGACATAACGGGAAATTAGTTTCAGGTATGGCGCAGTTTCAAGAACGTTATTACTAGAGAGGAAGTACCCAAATTAAAAATGAGCAAAAGGCATTTTAAATTTTAATTTTGAATTACATATTTTTTATCTTACATATTCTCTCCTTTCAAAGTGAAAAAGGCTTGGTGAAAAAAAAAACTTTTGAAAAGAAAGCATTAGTTTGTTAACAAAGAAAGAGAAAATTTGTAGAATATTCACAGCTACAATGATAAAACAAATAAATGGCTTCAAGACATAATTTTAAAATACTAGAACAAAATATCATTCTGTAAATTAAATTTAGAGCCAAATCCAAGTTCTTGAGGAAATGTAGCTTGAGGGTCATATAAGAAACATTAAAAAAACATAAGAAACACATAAAAAAGAAAAATTAAAAGGCTATTTACCAAATTAAATTATAATTTTGATTACCACATTTTTTATCTTACACATACACACATATATATTGAAATTTTAGGATACAAGCCTTCTGGGCAATAGTTAAACTTAAGGGCAAATATGACTCAAACGGCAATAAGTATAACTTATTTACAGCCATTATTCAAGCTAAAATATGACGGCAATCGAAGAGCTAGAGTATGGGAAAGCACTCATGAAAAGTATCAGCTTATGAAATCTAGAACTTGAAACTGTGCTTAGCAACAGAAAAAAAAAACAAAAAAAAAAGTCTCCACTGCAGAGAATAATCACTTGTGAATACCTTTTGCAATACTTACAGGATTAAATATATGCAAATTAATAAAATTCATGAAATATAAGAAAATGGTGTCACTTGGAATTCAAGCAATGTATACAAAACATAATAATAATTTCTTGGTAAATACATACTAATACTATACTTGGAAGAATTTATTTTACTCAAAATATTTCTTGCTCTGTGTTAAGATAAAGGCAGTTCTTTGAAGTTTTGTTAAAAGTTGAGTGAAATAATTAAACAAGAAACTTCACTTATATATCGAAAACTTAATACGTTCATCATATCATTCTTACAATCTAGACATATGATTAAATAAAATTTAATTATATTAAAAGAAATAATAATAATAATAGAGCAAGACTTTAAATTTCTATCTTTATTTTTGATTTCTTTATCTCGCCCCTTCCTTTTTTTTCCATTTCCATTTCTTTTTTATTAAAATGAAGTCTATGCATTTAACATTTTAATAAATAGACGTCTCGTAATTGTACTCTTTTGATTTCCAGACAACTCGAGAATTTCAGATAAGCTTCTCATGACAGATGAAAAAAGCTTATAAAAGCTGAAATAAAACAACTCAATTCAGTTGTTTACTTACTGCTGTTAATGATTATAACGAATTCGCAGTGAGATCGGATTAACTTTCTCAGTAGTTTTTTTTTTTTTTTTTTAAATTGAGTTTTATTCAATGTTTCAGTCGTTTAAAATACAACTACTGTGAGATATTGCGATATTGTACGAATATCTTTGAAAAATTTCAGCATTTTGCTTTTTGATTGTGATAAGAATAATTTATTCACGGGGCATCGGACTGTATTCAATTTATTACGAACCCGTACGCACGCACAGTACATTCCAAACTTGCTTTTTACAAATTTTTAAGCCCTCGAATGATTTTAATCCTTTATGACGGGCGTCCCATAACGCATTCCTAAGAATGTCTCTTACACCAGCGTCCCATCACGCATCACTAGAGATTGATTCAGAGACAGGTTGGCAATATGCATTTTAAGCGGAACGTTTTCTGAAGCCACTAGATGGCATTCTATGTCCATTACTTGCACTGAACACAGTTTAGGTTCCTGACCTTGAGTTTGAGAAATCTTCTGATTGAACATTTTTACTCATCATGGTGAGGTGGGGGTAGGGAAAGTGTAATGAGGTGGGCTTTAACTCACCATGTGCTAATATAAATATTATGATTTATGTCTGATTTAATCCATTCTTTTTTATATTCATTTTCCCCTCTACCGGAGGTTATAGGGTTAAATATGGCATTGCCGGCCATGTATTACGTTTTGCAGGCTTCAATATATTTCCATTTCTTCTCTTTTATTCGAAGCCCACCGCCAGTCTATAAGGAAGGCACTATTATCAGAGGAAGAACCCTCGTATGTAAGAACCATTTACTAACACAGAGAGAGTGAAGATTCTTTTCTAGAGTCAAAAGTGAGACTTCTCTGTGGTAAAGATTCACCAAACGCAGTCTTCATTAATTTGTTACTTCTTATGTAATAGTTTGGTTTTATTAATTTTAAACTGTATGAGGGATTTATCAAAAAACTTTGGAATATTTGAAGCGCTCCAAAGAATTTTAAGACATTTTCATTAAAAGATGAATGAAATAAGAAAAAATGTATTAAGGTGAATTTTACAACATAAGAGCTCAATTAATACTTTAATGTACCAAAAGTTACGACGCGAGAAGTGAACGGGGGGGGCTGATTTTTTAATAAATAGCTAGCGATGCAAAACTCCGTCCTGTTAGGTGACTCCTTGATTCCCGCCATGCCGCAGCAGCATCTTAACAAAGTGCGCATCGCAAAAAGGTTAAAGGTTCTGCATAGCTTATAACAAATTTACAACAAAAAAGTACTAATAAGAAGAAAAATTTACACTTCTTTAATAAAAAAACAGATCAAAATTTTAAAATAATAGTTTTAGGAAAGGATAGCTTAGCATGATATGTGCGATAATTTAACCAATATTAACATTTACTTATTAAGAATAACACTATAAGAAATCTAAAATGCATTTAATTCAAAATATAAAGGCACCTCATGTTCCAACCAGCATAATGAACATAAAAGCGTTTGTCAGGCCCATCCATTTCAACTTTCAGAACTTTTGCCTCATACACCTTTTGCATTCGCCCTCGTCCATATTTTACCTTCACACGATCCCCAACTTCTATTTCATTGTGTTTTACATCTTTATTGTATGCTTTCTCAGAGTCATTGGTAAAACTCCTAAAAATATATATTTAAAATACAATCTGTGAATAATAATACATTTGATTATAAATAGATCATGAACTCCTTTACAGAAGTTTTAATACCACGTGCTACATCAGTAATAATACTTTTATCTATCCAAACTTTAAATGCAATACAAATTTTATAAATTCCAAATCATTATATATTATGATTTGTTGAAAATTTAAATGCTAAACATAATTAATCATCCAATCTATAACCTAAATATACCTATGAGTATAGATCTTAACCTGCAGAAAAATTCTCTAAGAAGAGTAAATTACATTTCTGTTAATTATTCCCTTTAATAATTAATGAAATACAAGTACACTGATGCTGAAGTGATTGACCAAATAACTATACAAATAAATATTTATTCAAAGAAATGGAATTCAAATGTTATGATATTTTGTGTAAATTATTATTTTTAAATTTTGCAACTGCATTTCTTGGAATGATTGTTTCAATATAGCTGGAAGATACACTTAAGATTATTGAAAATTCCACAACTAAAACAAAAGTGTCTTAAAAGAATTTGTCAATTAATATTTTGAATTATTAAAAAAAATATATATGAAATTAGTAATATGGCCAAAAACTTCTATTTTACTTATATTTATAATAAAGAAGTAACATGCATACTGAATATATATATATATATAATACTTCCAAAATGTTTTAACTAAAAATTTACATAGTTTAAGAGAGTTTATTTTAAAAAGAATATGAATTACTTGTAAGGAACATCAGTAAATAAGAATTTCAAAATTTCAGGCTACTGATTATACTTACTTTCCGATTCATTGTAATTTAATTAAATTAAGATGTTTTAATTGCAAGCTCATTATGGAAGAATGGTTCCTCCCAACAGAAATTTATACTAATATTCAACTATTAATTAATTTTGAAAGACAAGTCAGTTATAAGCTCTTAAAAAGTATCACATAATACATTCATGATCAATTAAAATTTTTAAATAACTGAAGGTTCAAAATATAAATAAAACTTATTAAAGAAAATTCATATATGATAAATATTTTTTAATCATTTAAAGAAAATGAAAATTTTCTGTAATCTTTCTTATACATGCTTTAGAAATGAACAAAAACACATTTCATTGCTCATAATTCAAAAGCTCAGTAAGTCAAATAAATAACTCAAACCTGCATGTGAATACACACTTACACAATAATTGATTTTTCATAACATAAATCATTACTTACTCATCATCAGAATCACTTAAGCCAATAATTGAATCTTTTTCATCCCTATCATCTTTCAATGACCTTCTTTTACCCTTTAAAAGAAAAATTAGAGTAAGTATATTTTATCTCAAATTGCTTATAAAACAAGCACTAGAGTATTTTTATGTTAACAAGGCATCATATATAAATGTCAGCAAGAAATCTAACTAAAGATTGAAATGGCAACCCTAACAATAAATGCAGCTTCATAAAAGAAACGACTCTTTTATTAAATCAATAAAAAAATAATTAAAAAAATTCAGAAATTTACAAATAAAAATGCATGTAATTATTGCAATAAACAGCTACACAACACTTCATTCCTAATTGTAGAGGGCAGAATTCTACTAATGTGAGCTTCTGACACCAAAAGTAAATAAACTGAACAGATATCAGAAGCAGAATACACAAACCTTTAAATTAACATCTATTTTATAAACCTTTCTTTGTGCAATATAATCTTTTCTTGTTTCATTAATTGTTAAAGCCTGTTGTAATCCTTATTGATCCTCCCCTTTTTTTAAACTGCACTTCAACTGACAATATTAATAGGAAATTACTAGACTATGCTCATTCTACCTGCTTATTCTTAATAACATCATTTATAGCTATTTGAGATAAAGTAAATATGTTACTGTATTTGGTACACAATTATGATTTGTATCTGATTAACTGAAAAGTAGCAATTACTATGTGTCTACATTAGATTTTTTTCAGTTATTTAAAAAACAACCAAATATAAAAATTTTAGCATTGTTACATTCATAAGTAAAGTGATAAACAAAGAACTTAAAATATTGCCTTTTACAATAACAACATAAAACCAACCACAATTGCATAATAGTTATGTTCTGCAATTTTGTTGCCATAATATATGTTCTGCAGTTTGTTGATTCAAAGTCCACTTTTTGATTGTATGCATCACCAATCATAAAGTAGTGAAAAAGTATTTTTGATGCAAAGCAATTAGGAAATTTATTCATGCTTTCAGACAAATATCTTGGTCTAATAAAATCATTAATATATTACAAACTAAAGAGATTTAAAATGGTTCAGTTTATGTGACTGCTTCTAATTCTTGTATGAAAACACTTCTGACAATCATTATGATTAAGAACATATCAATCATATATGTAGTCATATTTTAAATTGTCAGAAATCAAATTTAAAAATATACTACTTTGTTTTAAATTCAAAGTATAAGTGTAAAACACAAAAATAATAAAATTTATCAACAAAGTCATACTTTATTCAAAGATTCATCAGTGTCATCGCCTCGGAGCCTTGGTCCAGGACCTCTTTTTTCAAATCCATCCAAAGACATACTTTCTTTATCTTCACATACATCTAGATCAACAATTTCATGACCATCTTCACTCAATGGAGTATCTTCCCTTTTTTCTCTTAATTTTGGCTTCAGTTTATCTTTTACCACAGCATCTTCTTTCTTTATTTCTATTTCAACTCTCAGCACTTTTTCTTCTTTCATAATCTTTGCTTCAATGTCTTCAACTGGCTTTTTACTAACATCTACAGATGGAGATTTATCTTCTCTTCTAGGTCTTACAACCTTTTCTTCCTTTTTCTCTTTCGCAAGCCTTTCAAGTTTTTTCTTCAATGGAGATTTCTCTTCAGGACTTTTAATATCTTCTTTCTTTCCTTTTGGTGTTTTTTCCTCTTTTGGCTCCTTAGATGAGTCTCTTTTATCTTTTACAGATCTATCTTCTCTTTTTTCTCGCACTGGATTTTCACGTTTATCCTTCCTGTGTTTTCTTCTTCACGTTCTTCACGTTCTCACTCCCAACTCCATTAGAACGCCAATCGTGTTCCTTTCTTCGGGGACTTCTTTGTATCTTTTGAGATTTCTCTGTTCCGCTTCTCGGTTAGAGGATTTTCTTTTCCTCCTCCTTTGCACTATTCTCTTTCTTGTCTTTAATCAGAGATGGAGTACGCACTAATCTTGGTTTTTCCTCTCGTTTTCGCTTATCATCTTTATCTTTATCATCTGACCTAAGCCTTTCTAACTTCTTTTTTCAGACCTTAGGCTTTCTTCCAAATCAGGGCTTCCGATTTGAGGGGCGGTCACTCCTTAACGGTCAGCGTCCTTTTCATTCAATACCTGTAAAAGTTTTAAATTCATTAAATAACAGTTTACATTAATGGGAAACAAGTAATTATTGCACTACATTAGAAAGAAAAATCTGTCTATTATATACTAATAAGACACATCACTAGTATTCGGGACTTTGCACAAACAGCTCCTGCGCTTAAATTTATTATATATATTTGATTTTAGTCCCCCACTTCCCATAAGCCATGTATCTGTTAACAAGTTGTTGGAAAAAATTTCTCATTCATATAGGTTTTAATGCTTACATTAAAACTAATTATGTATCACTATCCCTTTCGGAACAGAGCTAATGTATAGTTCCGTGGCATACAAGTATACAGGATTACTGCATAAATCGCATCCATTGCTTAAAAACTGATATTTATAAATACACATAGAATTTAAATAAAATCTAAATGTTTAAGAAAGTTTTCTAAACATAACGCAACATAATCATTCTAACATTTTACAATAAAAATTATGTAAAAATTATGAACAAAAAGGATCCCCTGGTGAGTTCTCTTTCCTTAGTGATTCAATTTAAATCCATCAAAAGCTTAATTTTTTTCAGATAACTTCGCAATAGTGACATAAAATTTGTTTATTCTGACTATAAAAATTAATATATATACAAGCACATGATCACAGACAATGCTTATTGTAATTAAATTTTGACCTATCGTTAAAATCTTTGTTTTTTGACTTTTGAAGCAGTATCTCGTCTCGGTTCGTTTTGAAATTTCGATCGATCTATGCCTCTAGATCACTATTGTACATTGTGCACCCAGTTCGATAAAAATCTTCAAAATCTGCAATACCTAGACATAAAATTCTTGTAAGGAAGCAAGAAATTAGGAAACAAACCTAGCCATTAAATGTGAGTAATTCCTCTATTATAGATTAAACAGTTTATAGCTACAGTATAAGATATATACTAATATTTTAAAGTAACAGGAAAAGCTATCAGAACATACAAAAAGGTAAAAATTATTATGGCAATTTAAATTTTTTCACAAGCCATGCTTCATACAGCATAGAGCAACAAGGCTGAAAGATGTCGAAGGAAAGGCAATTCCTATCTATTTTATGCCAACATAAACAGTTTCAAATCCCTACAAGAATACCAATTAAAAAAAAAATTACTTACTATAATAAAAATATAACTAAAAAGGAAAAAAAAAACTGAAGCAAATTATCGGAAAAGAATGATTTTTTTATCAAAACTGGACAGAACTTAATTAGCGCCTCAAAAAAACACGGTAGCAGCTGCTCCCTCTTTACTTTCAGGCACAGTTCAGATCAATCACAAGGAGAAGGAAGCCCGCCGAAAAACCGTAAGCCGTTATCACATTAGCTTTTGTGCCGGGACAAACGTTTGTACAACATCTGAGAACGCTTTGGCGAAATAGGTTTACCATCGTCACTGCAAACAGCTGAAAGCCAAACAAGAATCAGTTATCATAAGTGGCAAAAGTGACGTTTCCTTCAAGTACTTCGCTTCGGTTTTTTTGTAGCGCCACCTTTCGTTTAAAACTTATTGTAGTAATGGAAGAATGAAGGTGATGCATCAATTATCTCTTTGATCTCCACTCTGGCACTTTTGTAACAGATAACACACTCTGTTATAGCAATCAATTACATCGTAATACCAATCGTATAACCTAAGAAATTTAAAACATGGCCGATAGTCATTTATCACCATCGCTTCGTGATTTCGTTGTCTGCCTTCAATGAAAATTTAGGCTCACTGAAAATTTGTGACCTGGTGCAGCTTTCTGACTAACTTTATGGCTCATATTACTGTCTGTCCATCAAATGACCAATCTATAGGCTGGGGGACTCCTCACAGCCAGATACGATTCACAAAATGAAGATCAATAAAGCAATGAATACAGGACACAACATTGCGGTTGTTTACTGCCAAGTAAACACTCGATAATTCCAAAACACATGAATTATACCAACTCTAAAATAGGTGTCACTCATGCGTTTGTTTGTTTGGGGATTGAGATTACGCAAGCATACTAGCAGCTCCTAATGAGGGATGCCTCGAAGCTTTTAAAGAAACGGCTGTGTACACGTTACACATGGGGAAACCCGAAGGCCATGCAGCCACCCGTTCGCGGATCGAACCTCGCGGAACACCTGTTCAGCGACTTTACGCTCGGCCGCTGGTGGCTCATTGGCTTAGTGATACGCAGCCCGGGGAGAAAACAGGGATCCCTTTAGATTTTTTAAACTGGCTCGATACCAGTCAAATGGGGCAAACCAGGAACGCAGTAGCCAGCCCGTTCCGGCGTCTAACATGAGACACAACTACCATGTTCCCGCGCTTCGCCACTAGTAGGGCCCGGCACTAATGGAAGTGCAATTCATTTATGTAAGACAGAAGTGTAATCAGTTGGGCGCTGTTTTAAGTAATCAAGTTATAAATGCAAGCTGTACATTTCTTATTATTTATTATCATGTTTTTATTACGTAGACATATTGATATATTATGAATTAACCCAATACAAATGTACACTCTTTGTATTCAATACTCATCCATTTTTCAACGATATTACTACCCATTAATGGCAAGACTGAGAACTATAGTTTGCCAAGCAGATCAGATCTAATAAAGTAACTTCAATAAACTTCTGGCAATGTTCATTTGTATTCATAATAAATATATAATACACATCTACTAATCATATAGTACATAAGATAAGAGCAAGGTTTTAGAAGTTGTTGTATCTATTATTAGTATTATGTATGAAAAGATTATAATGATGTATATACAATGTTTTCATAATGCATAAGAATCCTAAATTTTCAATGTTTGCAATATTAGCATTACAAAAAGTATGTTTCTAAGTTTTATAATTCAAAAGTTTTCATATAACTAAATAATACAAATTTATGAGATTCTCATTATTATAGCTAGGCTTTTCTTTTTATGCATCTTTATGCTTTAAATGGTCACTGAGTATGCAGTTCCGCCAATACAACGATTTTAAAAATTATTCAATTTAAGAAAAAAATCTATTTAAACGTGTTATAATACCCATCACGATATGACAATTTGCGAACTTTGGGCGAACAACATTTGTAACAAATCAACAAGAACGTCGGTAAATACTGTCACTCTGAAATTTCGCGATTATATATTAATAAATATACACAAAAAAACAATGCAGTTGTTAAACAAACAGCAATAATAAATCGCCTCTAGTTCCACGCCTCACTTCACAGGAAGCCACGCCATATTAAAGGGACCGTTATCCTGCAAGCACCTTTCGTATGATTGGTTAACGTCAGAACACGTCGCAGCCGGAACTTTTGGGAAAAGTTTTAAAGGTGCTATGCCGGGACACGTTCATCCTCTAACGAAACGGCTCGAGCCTGCCGCTTAAATCGTACACTAGAATCTTGTTTCTCGGAATTGTCCCGGGAGGCGCGCGCGCTATAGGGGATACACGTTGGCTATGCTACTCCACTTCCTACTAAACTAATAAGACACAATCACATGAAAGACTCACATGTATCTACCAAATCACCGTAAAGAATGTTCTCTCACTATATAGCAAACAAAACCCTCTCAACCTCAGATTAAACCTAGATCGCATATTAAACATTTTAAAAAAGCAACAACTCGCAAACAATAGTCAGCATCCACAATTCTGAGCATTATATTATGCATATTTGATAACATAAAATAATGTGCTTGAAGTGACGACACTAACTTACCTGTTTAAGGACCATCTACATACTCAAAAAAAGCACTTATCCTACGGACTGAATCATACTTAAGTCATACCACATAGACGACGAATCTATATAGACATTCAGATTTTTACAACATAACACAGAGAAAAGAGAGGGATCCAAAACAAAAAGTTTTTCTGCCAATCTGAATTAATATAAAATTTCATTCCCTGACAGAAGAATGCTAGATGCCATTGAATTCTCAAATTAGAATACTACTTATGAAATCTGATAAAAGGGATCCGGGGCATGTTACAATAGTAAAGACTTAATAGTGACTTTGCATTTTAACTAAAAAATGAATTTTTCACAAAAAAGTTTGTACTGAAATCAACACCCTTTTACGATCAACAAAAAACCTAGCATTTTTAAAAAATATCACATTGCTTCCCACACACTACGGGAAGCCCTGCGGGAATTGAAAAAACCTTAGGTCACCGCTAGGCACCACCGAGGACAAGAAAAGGAAGTAATCCAATACCTCTTACCATAAAATGCGATCCGTCCACCAACATGTTATACGGGAGACAATCAGGGAGACTTAGAAGTGCGAGCCCTTACAACTTGAACCAAATTCGTCCGATTTCAGGATCATAAACACTTCTGCTCAACGGGCAAGCAAGATTTGAAAATTTATCATCTAGTTAGATAATCAATTACCTACTACTACTTTCTGAATGGAAAGCTGCACTGATTTAAAGAATTTCAACATTTCTTTTCAAGACACCTTCTTAACTTTTACAATAAAAGCCTCTATATTATTAAAAAACACCAAAATTTACAGCAAAAAGCCAGAGGACAGGGAGTGATTTGAAAAAAGGGACTTCGACCGAGGCCCAGAACGAAATAGTAATGCACTACCAAAAAATTACTACCACACCAATTCGTCAATAAGGGAACGCACTACATAAAAGATTA